GCCCCGAGCCGGGCCCCGGGGCGAAGAACTCGCCCGGGAAGAAGACCCCCTCCGCAACGCCCCCGGGGGAGGGGGGGCCCAGGAGGAGGCGGCGGAAGACGGCCGGGGTGGGGGTGGACGCCGGGGCCCGAAGTAGGGGGGGGGGGGAGAGGGGGGGGGGGTTGGGGGGGGGGGGGTAGGAACATTGAAGAAGCGCGGCCGAGGCGAGGCAAAGCAAGTCCGCAGAGTCGGAAACATCGGCAACGGCAAGAATAAGACCAAGTTACAGTAGGCGTGGGAGACACACGTGTCGGGCCGGTTATGCGACCCTTTACTCCCGGTTAAAACAAGGCGGGGCCACGGCACGTGTCCCAGCACGGTAGGTGGCGACGTTTACGTATCCGCGGGGCCCCTTCCCCTCGGTCAGTGGCAGCGAACGCACTCTCCATGCTTCTTTCGAGCAATGCATGCGCCTCTGCATGTCAATACCTGAACCTAGGTGACATCGGGCTCCACGGTCTGTCGAGGTCAGCCTAAACGTCGCGGCACGCCTGACTCTTGTCGGCTTTACATTTTCGTTCGACTACAATAGCTTACCGAAGGATGAACGAGCGCTGTGCAGAGAGCACAAGGAAGCACAAGGTACAAAATAGAGAGGCACCGCGTATCTGCAACCAGCGCCATAACATATGCTCGGCGAAGCCTGTTGGCCGTATTAATTGTTGCGTCCCAAGAACAAAAACAATCTTGTGCCGTTTCGTGCAAAACGAAACGCCTCTCTTACCTTCCGCACACCGAAGACGTGAATGAAGAGGAACGTAAAGGTATCCAACGCTGCCGAATCGTTCCGAGGGAGGCAAAAAAAGGGCCCGTTCCGCGTCCAGCAGTGGCACAGGAGCGTGGACAATCCCAACGGAGAGAGGGTGGGGGAGGTGATCACAGGGGAACAAAGTGAGTTTCCACATCACAACGCATCGCGGTAATACCAGCACGCGTGCACGGGGGGGGTGTAGGTCTTAACGCTGTGGTTACAAGTACCTCTTCGTCTCTTGTGACAACTTATCCTGCTGTTAAAAGGGGAGTTTCGGATGCTGGATTGCGCAGGAGCGTTGCCTCTAACGATAACGGCAGGGAACACAAAAGGTCACCACGCTCTCTGTGTAACAAACCAATCCCACGTGTTATCGAATAGCTTTCGCCATCCTCCCTCAGATGGGAACAAAAGGTCCTAACATCCGTACAAGCAGAACGCCTACAAGATGTACACGCCATGGTCGATCGCATTGGCCTCAGACGGCCATTGCACCTTGCACCACAGACAAGACTAGAGATTTTGCTAACATGCTGGTTCCAAACTCCCCAAGCCGCCAATGCCTCAAATAACCGTAATCCCATGACATACAGCATCCGTGAAAGCATGCCCCTTCCCCCCTCAGCAGGGGGCTTTCGCCCTCCCCTAGCGCTTCGCGCTTGGTGATGTGAGAGCCTGGTCCGGTGAAAACCCGGCGTGCTCCGTCCCGGTTTCGTAGGGATGCGATGTCAATGGTCTAACGACTACGGCATGCACGACTATGAGTACACCCCGCCCCGCCACCACCCACATTTCACCTGTCAAGAGGCAGCCCACCCAGAGAGGGATGCCGAAAAGAATCTGCAGTCCGATGGCCGACCCCAGCACCTCCTGGATGTCGCTGCCGATGATGGCCACCTCCATCATGACCCAGAGCAGCAAGGCGGCGGGCCGGTCGTAGTGCGTCCGGCACACGTCCGCGAGGTGTGTGCCTGTCACCACCCCGATCCTGGCGGCCAAGCTCTGCAGCACCAGGCCCAAGATGTGCGCCAGCAGCAACACCCACAGCAGCTGGTAGCCCGTGTACGCCCCCGTCTGAGCACGGAAGTCGGGGGGCAGGGAAGGAGTGAGGGAGGTTGGCGGGCAAGTCACATGAGAGGAGCCAAATACCGATGTCCCGACGTGGTGCTCACTGGTTCAAAAACGAAACAATTCACACAACCAATGCACAACAGGGGGTTTCGTCTAGCGGAAGACCCAGCGACGTTGAGGCGCTTTATCAGTCGTCCGCGAGCCGGCACAGCAGTCATCACGCCATCCACGCAGCTGGATCGCCAATTACCGCCGTGCATCAACTAGCCTGTGAGCAGTGCCACAAGTACATGTAGTGACGGACATGTGGAGCGCACAGCTTTTATTAGAAGCACGATCATGCTAATGACACCTTTGCACTTGGGGGTCATGACGCGCGTTTGGCGGGTGCGCCCCAAGAAAACCAAGGACGCCAGAGTACGGGCCAACCCCCCCCTTCTCTAAAAAAACACGTTCTACAGTACAAGTATACACTCTCTGATCGCTGACCAGGCGAACGTAGTGGGTGAATGGCGGCCCAAGCCTGTCAATCGCATCGCGCTACACCGGCACACCAACACGTGCGATGGAGACAACAATACACCGCCTCTGCGGTCCGCGTCACAACGAGGGTCGGTATCTGGCCTTGCGCCGCAGTCGCGACCGCTACGCTGGCGCACTCCTGGAAACGCAAAGGGAAAATATCACCCGTCCCAGCAAAAAACCGTTACGCCCGCCTTCGTTCGGTGTGGGACGAACACTTCAACCCGCCTTCCGAGTGGCGCAACCACTAGGCAGGCACGCGTGCACTCTGCAGATAGACCCACGTGGCTTCAACCCAACTTACTACCGTAGGTTGCACAAGATATCACACCCCCTGGACCGATTTTCAAAGCTCATGGTATTCCACGACAGAGAGGATGCCGGAAGTCAACGGATACGGTTTCGGAAAGCTCTCGACGAGACGATTCCAACGCCGCCATTTTCGGGACCGTCGCTGCTTTTCCTGCCGAGTCATTGATGTTCGAAGATCGGTCCAGGGGGGGTGATATCTTATGCAACCTACCGTACGCGTCCGAGTGATGCAACCACCTGGCAGCATGCACACTGCTGATAGGTTCACATAGCCATTCAGTCGTGGCTTCGATATAACAGGGGTGGCGTGACAGAGACCATCGACAGACCCCTCTTATATCGGAGCCTCCTCTTATACCGGAACAAGAGGTACCAGTAACCAACTGTAGTTACAGCGGGTCGAGTCGGCGACAACCGATTTCGACCCTCTTGTATCGAAGCCCCCTCTTAGGTGGTACCCTCTTATATCGGAGCCACGACTGTACCTGGAGATCGGCCTCCAGGTTCCCCGGGTCCAGGTAGGCGATGCATACTAGGAAACCCGGGCCGACGTAGGCAGCCAGCGTTGGCCAGTGGAGCCACTTCCCCTCCGGCTCGTCCGGCACGTAGTGAACGTCCCCCTTGTTCGAGATGTGCAGCCCCTCGTCATCCTCTGCTATCGCTTTGTCGTCGGCATCGCCCTCCCGCCAGTGCTCAGCGTCGTAGGGATCGCTGCTGTTCCCCTGTCGAAGCAGCGACAACGCGATGGCGGGTGTTGAGTTTAGGTTGTCGATCGATCGAGAGATAAGAGAGGTACAGAGAGAACGAGCTTATGCAGCCCCACGTGGGCATTCATGCGGAGTGACCGCTCAAATTACCGTAAGGATGCGAGAGCAAGCTCGGTTCGGCGAGATCGCACGTACCGTTGATATGATACTCCTGTGCGATAAAAAACCAAGAACAAAATGATTTCATTCGATTATCGCCTCGGTGATGGGTGATATCGCACATACCGGTGATATCGCACGTGCGATAAAAACTCAACAACGAAATCATCTTGTACAAATCGATCGCACCCCCGTGCGTTCTCTCGCATCCTTACGGTAGGCGAAGAAGAGCAAGGAGTACAACGTCCGCAAGCCAGATTCAACGCAATCGATCTCTGCTGTACAATCATCACCGTAGGACCGCACGAGAAACCAATAAAACATGGAGATATCATACGTGGTTTCCAGGTGTGGGGGGGGGGGAGGGGGGAGTCACTTGTGCTTGCTTTCGTAGACTACGCCGCCCGGTCTTACGGGGGGCCCGTTCTTTCTCCTGAGAGAGATGCCACTTTTTTTACAGCAGTTGGGGCGCTCACTACTCTTACACCACATTCTACGTGGGGATTTCTCGTTGACGTGATCAAATCACCCTTGTTCTTGGGGGTCGTTTTCTCACTACGGCTGCAGTGATTGTGCCAAACATCCACCCACAATCGTCCCATCACATTCTCAAGGAAGTAGCTTCATTATCGTGTTGGGTGCATTTAAAGAGAACAAGGGGAGGGGGACGGGGGGACAGTGGCGAGTTTCGGGTGGCATGCACCCTCTCGCCTTGGTGAGTTTCCCGTGCTTCTAGTTTGCCATCTCAGCGAACGTGCCGTACGGGCAGCTAGCTTCCTGAAGAACCATGAAAAGGTTCCACTTAAGGTTCTACATTTGTTGTAGACTCCTCAGCAGATTTCATATCTCAGGATGGTTCGTTAACAAAACCAAGCGGTATGCGGACTTGACGCTAAGGTGGAAGTTTCGCCTCTCGTGTTTGGCAAGGATAACAAGGAATCTAAGCTGGGTGCTGTACTGCTGGCAGGTTGAGGACACGCTCTCGAGAGAACAGCGGGAGCGCCTGTGGAGCCTCGCGGGATGCTGACTTTCACTGCGTTGTTGGAATGGACGGGGGGGAGGGCGTACTCATGTTGTGCATGCCTTAGCGGTTAGACCATTGACCACACGCGTCCTCGAGAGGACGGGGAATTGTTGGGGAGGGCAGGGGGGAAACAAAGGCCGGGAACAGAATATGCTCAAAGCCCCGCGTGAAAGTGCAACAATGTAATCAAGTCGAACAGTCTTACACCAACAGCTTGTAGAACGAGGAAACTACTGCTGTACAGGTGCTACCTTACTGGTTGTCCCTCAGTAGTGCGGGTATGTGCCCCCCAGATCCACCGGCACATGAATATAGGGCCCATCAGAGTGTTGAGGGGAGTCAAGAATTTATAGGTCGGTAGGTGGTACTGTAGGCTAGAATAAACAAGAACGGAAAAAGCGAACACTTTGATGCCATGTCTTGCTACTTTGCCTGCGGTAACTAGCTCCCGTATCACAACTCATCTCATTATTTGTGGCATGTGGCATTGCTCTGCTCACGTTTGCAAGTGACACGTTGGCAAGATGTACGTGCAGTGTTCTTTCGAGACCACCTGGGCCCCTACCCTAAATAGCGTATGCATAGGTACGTATGTACGTACAAGGTTAATTTCGTCCCCAATCTCATAGGCCATCGTGCGAAAGCTTGACCAGTGCAAGGGATACCAAAACAAATTTGGTGTACATACGGGAGAGAGACGAATTTGTTGGGACACATTTCGGCGTACCGCGCCAGCACCCCTGCTCGAGGGTGTTTTAAGCCGGGGGGGGTATTCTACTTGTATTATACGTAGTCGAGATTTCCTGCTGTGCCACTGCTGTTTGTTTCTCTTAGAATACTTCGTAGAATTGTTTTCTTCACATTAAACTCGTGGCAGTTGCTAAAAATCCCAAAATCTAGCAAAGACTCGGCCCGTGGCCACAAAAATACGGGCGAGATAGGTAGCCATACCCACTACATTTAACACCCACCCACATGTCGGTGATGAAACCTCAACCACATGCCTCTATCGGCGACCACGTCAGGAGACAATGAAGAAAAAATGTTCTCCCGTGCCATTTGCAGATTTAACAGCACGGAATTACACGAAATTACACAAAAAGGTAAGAAAATGGTGAGACCACGCCCGTGTGTCCGCACATACTCCGAAATGTATCCACACATATACTACCCAAATACCCGGTACATACGCGTACCACATTAGAGTTATTTAAAACTCGATTCATGGACCGGCCGGACTTTTTTGGGCCTTTCGCTGCTTTGTATATTTTTGGTGAAAAGCTCTCGTGATATAAAACTCGAGAATAGATCTTCACAGGATAAAAACACAGGACTGTTGGCCTGCGCCAATACAACCTCGGACAGCTGGTGTTTGGCAGGTGGGCTGCCGTTGTGGTGCAGCCAAATTTGATCAACCCCAAACAAGCAGCATGCGAAATTAGAGTGCCTTTTTCCAAGGTGATACGAACATGCACACCCTAACGTAGTGAACGAACAGCGGACAAGGCGCGTTCGTCTCTGCCAAGAGCGCCCCCAACCCACGCTAGCTGATACTCTGTATGTTGGCACTCGGGCACGTTGATGATAACAAACCGTTGGTCCTTCTTCTCTTTCTTTTGTGCCAAAGAGAAAACGAGAGAGGGGTTAGAAAAGACAGGCAGACCATAGGGCATATACGCACACCCTGTGCATCAACGGCAACAACAACCTCCAGCCTCCCCGCCATGCCGACTAGGAAGGGCCGCCCTCCCCCCACAAAAAATTAACGGGGCAGCCTATAAGCTACGCGGCGAGCCTTGCGGAACTGTGTCTGTTCGTTAGTTCGTCTGTGCTTGCGTGCGATGGCGGCACCAGAGAAAGCGAGAAAGAAAAGGAGCACGACGAGAGAGGAGGGCAGAGGGCAAAAGAGAGGGTGCAGCAGCATGCAGCAACATGCAGCAACCTCACGTACGCGTTGATACGCATGCAGCACAACAAAAAATCGTCCGGTCAGTGCCCGAAAGCTTGGTTGGGGGCTGGCGGTTGTGGCGGCGTTGTTATGACTGTGCGCTGTGTCTTTGCTGTTGTGACGGCGGTGATGTTTGCTGCAAAAGCGAGGAGAGAGGAGAGGGAGAGAGGGAGATAGAGAGAGCAGTCTGTTCGTCTCGGAACACAAATATATACTTGGAGCTCTGGAGCCCCAAACATATTCTTGCTCACGATTCATGCATTTTGGCCCAAAAGTCCCCTCCGATATAAAACTCGATTCATCCACTTTTCGGGCTCTTCCACTGGTTTCATGCATTTTTTCGAGTTTTAAATAACTCTACTGTTATTTACTCGGACTATGGTGCTATTTTTGTACAGACAGCACTTCAGACAGCAGTACGCTGTAGTCGAAAAACATTCATTTTGGTGAAGTGCGGGACAAGGGGGGTGATGCCGCCTGCTGTAGTCGAATTGTAGTGTGTGGGCGTGTAGTTCAGTTGTGAGCACGAAAACGTGCTGCAGGGATTGTAGGTGTACCTCCTCGGGCTTGTGTACCCTTTTCTTGCTAATAGTGTGCGTGTTCTTTAGATCTTCCGATGGCTTTAGCATTTTTGTGACCACGGGCCGAGTCTTTGCTAGATTTTGGGATTAGCAACTGACACGAGTTTAATGTGAAGAAAAACAACAACAACAACAACAATTGAAAATACGTTTGAAAACTGAGGGAGATTGCATGCCCTACGGCTAAAAGGGTGCCACACACAAAACGCCCGACCAGTACCTAACACATATCATCTGCACCTTCCCAACATAACATATATGAGACACACAAGACAGCTACCAAACTGTCTTGTTGAGCCTGTTACCCGCAGGGGAGATGTCCCTATATGCTGTCTGGGAAATCGTAGACATACAGGTACTTTCTGACGCTATGAATCCATTGCTAATCTGTCTCAGACTCTTTTCTATGATAGAGATGGTTTCGTTGTGTCATACTGTATTAAGAAAAAATAAAATAATGCTAAGAGTCATCAGAAGATCTAAAGAACACGCACACTATTAGCAAGAAAAGGGTACACAAGCCCGAGGAGGTACACCTACAATCAATCCCTGCAGCACGTTTTCGTGCTCACAACTGAACTACACGCCCACACACTACAATTCGACTACAGCAGCGGCATCACCCCCCTTGTCCCGCACTTCACCAAAATGAATGTTTGTCGACTACAGCGTACTGCTGTCTGAAGTGCTGTCTGTACAAAAATAGCACCATAGTCCGAGTAAATAACAGCAGTTTCCTTCTGTGCAACTGCTGTTTTCTTCCGTTGATCAATCCTAAGATTTTCCCTCGTTACGTTTCGTGCCTGCCTGCTGCTGCTGTGTGCTCATGGAAGGGCTTCCCAAACGGTGTCACCGCAGGAATTTGCACGGACTCCTCACTCGTACACCAGCCCGATGTTTACAAGCCAGTTAGTTGCAAGGACCGACGACCAAAGGACACACCGCCTGTACAATTGTCATCAAGAAGTCTGAGGAGGAGCTGCAAGTGCAGCAACACCAACATTCTCTTTCAGCGCCGCGGGCGGGCTCTTCCGACACCCTTTGTGGACTTGACTGCTGGTGGTGAGAAGGACAAACAAACGGCATTGTTGCGGTGCGCTGCTGTTTCCACGTCGTGTTGGGGCCTCACTTGAGCACTGCGTGAGTCAGGTAAGAGGCACGCGCCCCCGGCTTGTATGTACGCAGGGGCACACGACACCCCGCATGGTATGCATAATCATCGTGTCTGCTGTACCGCGTCCGACCAGTACACCTCCGCCCAGCTCAACGACACGTACCAACCATCACACACGACTCTGCAGCAACCTTCGTCTTGAATAGTTTCGTATCGATAGGGCACGCTCTCCCATCAATCGTGGTCGGCGAAACACCTACATACATACCGACAAGAAAATGCGGGAGTGGGAGTTTTACCGATCCTACGCGTATGCATACGTTCTCTGATCTTTACGGGTCACACCTGCTCCTCCCCGATGATAGGCTCCCCTTCTTGCATCCTAAAATAGGCCACCCTCGAGTCGTCGTCGCCCATCCAAACAACCACCCAGGCCCAGTCCCTTCTCTCCTCTCGCTTCCCCTGTTCGCAATTTCCCGGACCGCTTTCCGCAGGGACCGCCGTAGGCCCAAGGCGTGTAGCAGTGGACGGCGGTGGCGGCGGGTGTGGTGATGCAAGCAAGAATGCCACCCCCCCCGTTTTCCCCAATCTGCGAAGACCCACTAGTTGCTGCTGGTGCTCTGTGCTGCTGATACACCTCCCACGCTACACCTCCACGCGCTACGTGTGTACCCAACGTGCATAGCGGTAGATCTAACGCCGACTAAAGGCGGGGTTTGGCTGGTGTGTTTGGAAAGTTCAAGCGTTTTTGCCTGAGTCACGGGCAGACACACTTGCCTGCACAGCACGCAAGGATTCCACATCCAGCGTACTGAGAGACCCTGAGGTCCACGCTCAACGTTATGACGGAAGTCGTGTGCCCCGGCAAGCGATTAGGGAGGGCAAGCGAGTATCGGGCGGGTCCAGGGACCTATGTGCGAGGGACATACATCTATGCCAGCGTCGTCGGACCGAAGTTGGAGCAGGCGGCGGCAGATGAGGACGGCAAACCATACCTAATTGTGAGTGCGGTGGAATAGACTATTTGCAGACCGAGAGGTACGGTACGGCCGTTGCCCCCATGGTCAGCACTGCGGTTGGTATCAGCCATGCGCTGCCGTTGGAACTGCTACTGACTGGTGTTAAAAGCGGGACTGTTTGCCTAGTACGGTTTGCTTGCAGCCAGTGGCATTCGCGGGAGGTACGATGGTATTCATTTTGGATACAAGCTACTCTCCTATTTAAACGTTTGGACAACGCATGCGATGGTGGTGTGGTAACGAGGGTGACCTACATGTAATTCTGCAAAATTCGCACAGACCGTCCATGGTTCTACGGAGATGTCTGGGCAAGCGAAAACTTGAAGAGACACTCTCGAGAGCCGATTGAAACGTCAATTTTTCCAGAAGCGCACACGACTCGCACTCATCCCCACGTCGACCTACCTCCTCCGTGGTTGTTTTCGTTCTGAGCGGAATTATTCAAGCGGACGGAAAACATGTACATGTAGTTTAAAAATGTCCATGAACCTGACATCTTTTTCCTTGTGGGGCTTTGCGTTCTCAGGTGTCCCAGCCGAAGCGGGCCAGAGCAGCCGATCAAGTGATTCAAGTGGGCGATACTGTGATGGGGAGGGTGACCCGCATCAGCACGAGGCAGGCGTGGGTGGAGATTATCTGCGTGGGAGAGACGGTGTTGCGAGAGCCCCACCGAGGCATCGTCCGGAAAGAGGTACGCTCAACTACGGCTGGCCCGAGTAGCCTTACGTCGTATTGGCCGTATTGACCCTACACCTGCACCTAGCTGGTATGTACGGAAACATTTCGATTGCAATAGGGCTGCGTATCGAACACTCTTTCGTAAAACTGCTGTAGCCGGTCTATGCAAGTCGTTAGCGAAATGCAAGATCGCGCGCCTGCACGACTGCATGACGAACTGATCTGTTCGTGACGTCAGCAACACCTGCCAGTCGATCCAAAGCCGTGGTGGTGGTGGTACTTTGCGGTTTGCGCAAGAGCAGGCTCAGGTCCTGTTGTGCACCCCCAGGTGCGGCCATGTACATAGCGCTCTCATCACGCAGACGACACCCCGCAAAACCCATGGCATTTTTTCCCTGTGTCATATCGCTTAACAGGATATCCGTGCGACAGAAGTAGACAAAGCGGAGGTAGCGAAGTCACTGCGACCCGGCGACATCATACGAGCGCGCGTTATATCCTTGGGCGATTCTACGCAGTACTTCTTGAGCACGGCGGAGAACGAGCTAGGAGTTCGATGGGCAAAGTCCGCGGCCGGGGCAATCATGATCCCCATCAGCTGGCAGGTGTGCTCGGATAACCCTACCGACCAACTCACTTGCTAAATAGCGGATATGGCTGGCTCGCCTAAGGCGAACAATTGCATGTTGTTCGTGGTGGCCTAGAACGGAAGACGTTGCAGTGAGTGCTACAAGAAAGATGGATTTCGTGATGCAGAGCAATTCTGCGCGTGATACTTTTTTGCTTTTTGCGTCGACTCGATGGAAGTACCAACCAACCAGGCAGCGAGAGAGAGGTTTCTTAAGTGCAGGTAGCCCCTCGGCTGCCAAACAACGGTGAGCGCCATTTTCACAACAGAACAACCCCGCCCCGCCCCGCCCCATCTTGCGCTACGAACCGTTGTGTTTGCTTGCTGTTCCACTACCGCCCCAGGAAATGCAATGCCCGACGACCAAGGAAAAGGAGCCTAGAAAATGCGCCAAGCCGGTGTAGGCTAGCCAGTCGGAGACGACGAACGCGAAAACGCCTTCGTGTGCATGAGAATTTCAAGTAGAGGAAAGGAGGGCAGCCAGACCGACGCTACCTGGTGATAGTGCTGCTGTTGCAAGAGCGTTTCGATCCCTTTGGCTGTCGGACGTAGTGTTCAAGCATGGGCCTTCCAACTCCACGTGTGACTTCACATGGGACGTGAAAAGGTTATACGCCTTTCGTCACGATACAGCTGGACGGGCTCAGGGTTGCAGTGGACATACCATACTGGAATAAAAGAGTGTTTGTCGTTGTCCGACGCTCGCTGTATTCTCACGTGCCTGCAAGAAGCATCACCGATTTTTGCTGATGCTCAGGCCAATCCAACCCCGGGTCACACTGTCAGTCAGGACTGATGCTCTAGGCACAGACCGTGGCGTACCACGAAACCGGCAGAGTCTCCACAGTTGTCACCTGGGTGGTTTTAAGTCGAAAACGGGGAGAAATTGTGTTTCTTTCCTTCCTCCTTCTTCGCTTCTTTCATTTCACATCCATGGATGGACTTATCCATCATCTTCATCACCGCCCCCAACTACATCGTCCTCAACCCCACACATACATACCCTACCTGGGGAACAAGCGAGAGGGCTTCAGATGAGACCGGGGCTACCCCCGGGCTATTGTAACCTACACCTTGAAGCGGTGGTTACACCGTCATTTTGCTTTCTACTCGAAGTTTCCGCGCCGTCCTGATCGATTTGCTAGGCCTGTCGTTCACGTTCCTTAGCAGGCATCAACTTTCGAGAGCTGACGCCCTCTGTAGAAGTGACGAGACCATCCGACAAGTTGCCACACCACAGAAGGACAAGCAAGGAACTCCGTGTCCATGCCTAGAATGCGGATCAACATCGCATCGCACGCCACGGGTGTTCAAAGGTCACCTACAGTAGTATAAATCGCCACAAACTGCCGTTTTTAAACGCGAGTCGTTGGCGGCGGCGCAACTAGCGCGCGGAACAACGCGAACTGGGCTACCTCCTACCCATTTGTCTTCATTCACAGAGGCCAGAGTTCTGCGACGCTTCGTGAAAATCGCTGGCGTTCGGAACCAGTGTTAGCACCAACATGAATTATGATGCCGCAATGCGCTATTTAGAATTTTGAATCGTTACAAGTCAGCAACACTTCGTCCAAATCACTTCATAACCTCAATCCTATACTACAAAACGACAAGGGGGTACATGTGAGAAATTCCAGGACCGCACAGCCCCAAACTGCATTAGGGGCAAATCTGGAGGCACGCGGCCGGGGGTAATATACTAAATCCTATTCTATTACTTGATCAGGGGGGTCACGCAGAAGATATTTTTGCCGCCCTTTTCGTCCAAACCAGTAGATCTGCCAATCTAACCATTGACAAATTTGGCTGGCCATTCTGTTAGCCGCGGTACAGTAGACGCCTGGCCACTGACCCTGAAAGGCGTTGTTCGTGGTGTGGCACCTCCCTAGTGTAGTCCTTGCTTTGTCCACGAACAACTCTATCTACCAAAAGAGACACGTACGCATACGCCTGGACTTCAAGACCCAGGGATACTGTCCAAGGCTGAGGCACAAGAAAACAGCAGCGGCGTCTACATAATGTAATTCTCCGGAGTACTAAGCTACTGCTGCATCGTCAGCGGTCACTGCACCGGGTTCGCTACGCGTGCTTCAGGTATCGTTTCGGTCCCTGAGCCGGTCGCTGCACCAGCTTCCGCTCCACCACCAACGGCTTCTTTAGCTTCCTTTGCCCTTTTCGGCTAGCTGCGCCTGGTAAGCCTCAAAGCATTCCATGTGCACTTTTGATTCGTTGTCCTCCCCTTCGGCGTCCCCCAGCTTGCGATCGACGGGGTAGAAAGAACCGCTGAACTCGCCAGCCTTCCGTACCCCCTTTTGGCAATGCAAGCACTTGTCCGCCACCATCTCTTGGTACTCCGACGCGCACTCCTGAAGGGCATTCCAGAGAGAGGTGACATGGATGGGAGAGAGCCGAGGTCGATGCACATGGGTACCTGTCTGCTCGCTACAACAGCCGCCATGTAAGCAGGCGCGTTTGTTTGCACCCTGTCGCTGCGACTCCGCGAAAAATGGTAACGGTAACCTGCTGCCGAATGTGCCATACCCACCGACATCCATTTCGAGTTTTCTCGGCTGTCGGCCCGTCTAAAAAAACATTCTAGCCCAGAGTCTTGAACCAAGGGTAACGCCAAAACATGCTACATATGCAGGCTAGTGGCCCGGGCGGTGAGAAATGAAAATTTACAATCTTCACCAACACTAATACTGTAGGAAACGGGGTTCTGCGACAAACCGAACTCGAAAAATTATGGTCAACACTTTTAACGGTATGAAAGCTTCTTGAGCTGCGTTCCACGCCGCCTATATACCTTGTGCACTTTGCCACCGTCGATCATCATGAAGTCCCCGCTGAAGCCTTCCATTCGTCGCACCGCCTTCTTGCAGACCAGGCACCTATCTGCAGTGGTTTCCTCGTACGCGTCCATGCACTCGGAGTGGACTCTCCCCTTGCCTTCCACCTCGAAGAACTCTCCGCAAAATTTACCCGCCTCGGGTGCCACCGGCTCGTTACACTGCAGGCATTTTTCCGTGTGTTTCTGGTGGTACGCCGACCGGCACTCGACTACATACGAAAACAAAAGGGAAAATGAAACAAGGGCGAGGTTAGAAACACACGCGTTTTGCGATGATCAGGGATGTCGAGAACGAGCAAGGCGAAGGCCTGCGCGGTCGTCGCCAGGAAAGAGCAACGTATGACAACAGTGCAAACGTTGCCCTCGTGCAAAGCGTGGTATGTACCCACTACGAGAACACCGCTAACACCGTGGTAGGTGATGGCCTAGCACGACAGACAGCAGTTCCGTGCCAGGCGTGAGAACACCTCGTATCCCCGCCGTGAAGAAAGGAAGAAAGGAAGACATTACAAACGCACCGTGCACTTTTATTCCATCCCCAAGCGTAACGTAGCTGCCGCTAAACTTGCCCTCCACGAAGGACAGCGGCTCGCCGCACTCTCCGCACTTTTCCGCTGCTGGTTTCGAGCCCTTGTAGGCCTCCCAGCACTCGCTGTAGGACAAAAAAGAAAAAAACCGCTCGTTTGGGAGTTGAGCAAGGTTCACTTGTTAAACATTACGCTTTTCCAGCAAGTAAACCGCGGTGGGTTTCTCGCTCTCGGCTGCTATTTTGCTTCAAAACGCCGCAATATTTGGTACATATTGTTGGTGTGTTGTAAATAATCAACCATTAGTCGTAGTTATTGCAAGGCTAGTAAATTGGCCGCAGTGGGAATAACCATTACGTCGGACTCCCGCTTTCATCCTACCGGGTACTCTGAAATCTGACTTCAAAAGGGTGGCTGGTGGCCCAAAACTTGTCTGGAGTAGATGTGTCGTGGTGCGGTGGGGGGATACTTTCGAGCAGCCAGTGCGAACATCAGCGCTGAACTGAGAGCCGAGCCGTTGCTTGGTCCCGTGAGTACTAAGAGTCGCGCGTGAGAACACGCGCGACTATTAAGCTGTCTTCTGGGTACAAGTACTCAGGATGCCGGCAAAAACATGGGTAAAGGCCTGTATACGTTTTGCCAAAGCGACACGATGTAAGACCAGGGTTACCCCGGCATCCATGTCACCAAAACCGACTGTTCAATGCTGGCACCTTCTTATCGGGTACTACAGTAGAAACGGGGCTTGGTACCAAAGTGTTTTGGGGTGTTTGACATGACACACATCACCTGTGAATCTTCCCCGGAGGATCAGTGCTAGGGTAGAACTTGCCGTTGAAGCGCCCGGGAAGATGCGCCACGGGCCCTTCGCAGTGTAGACACTTGACGGAACATTTCTCGTGGTATTTCTCCCAACACTCCTGCGATGAGTTCGAGAGAGACATGTGTTGCGGCAGACGAGGAGTATCACACTTGGTCAACGAAGAAAATCACGTGCTGCCTCCAGTCGACGCATGGCGGGGACCATAACAGACAGGGAGAGAGGGAGAGAGGGAGAGAGGGAGAGTGAGGCAGCTACGGCTGGTCGTAGTGAAAATGTCCGTTGTGAACGAGTCTGGTCGCTATCTTACGGTTAGGCTGTACAGTAGACTCTTTTGCGGCGACGCTGGCGAAGAACTGCTGTACACTTTATGAGAAATAAGAGCTCTGCACCGAACAGCAGTCTATTGATCAAATCAACCAAAGCAGTAGCGGTAGTAGCGCCGGACGAAGGTACCGTAAGCCCGGGGGGCATGACCAACTACAGCAGATCAAACAGTACAAATCTGTGGGTCTTCGCGAACTACAGCTTTATGTAACCTGTAACCTGGTGAATTGTGCCGCCCTCCTCCTCAGGTACTGTGTAGAATACGCCGGAGTGGGTCTCGTCTTTCGCGATAACAGCGTGGCAGAAGCCGCACTTGTCCGGTTTCTTTTTCTTTCGAAGGAGGTTGTGCAATCGAGACATGATGAGCGGCAGAGAGACACAGCAGAGGAGAGAGGAGAGTGCTGGGCGACCAGGAGAGAGAGCGGCACAACATCACTCGTCTACAAATCTCGATCTCCTCAATCTCCGTTTCCAAAGAAGGACGGGGGGTTGCAGGGACCATACACGGAGCCCCCTGACATTGACTGCGCCGTGTCCTGGCCACGACATCGTCTTCACTGACCAACTCTTGAGAGTCGAGGCACCACGCACACCGATGCAGCACTGCTGCCGACCAAGACGGCATAGACTGGAGCTGATTATTCTCTGTGGTGCAATTCTGTCAGGAGTACAGCTAGGTGCGAGATGACATTTTTCCCCAACGCTTGCGTCGTACGGCCCACATGATCCGCAAACGAGAGACACGAACCTCCCTTGAACTTCAGTGGTAACCGCCCTTGTGTGCGTGGTTTTATGCTGACATCGATCAAGCTCGAAATGACATAGGGACGGCAGACTAAAAATGATTCACACGGTCTTGGTTCGCAGGTACCAATGCCTTCTGCCCGTCGAGCTTCAGGAGGCGCCCCGTTCGGATAATCGACGCCAATCGGCGAACAGCAACTGCTAGGAGCGCAGTCCGCGAGCGTAGCGATGATACGGGAGAGCCTCCTCTTTTCAAGAGCGTCGAAGATCTGGAAGGTAAGCCGCTGCTTATCAGGTGGGGTGCCCGCCAATCCAATTGCCATCGATCCGAGTTAGGTGCTTCTTCTCTTGCAATCCGATCGAGGTGTCCACGGTAACGCAAATAGAGCCGGTGTCGCACTGATACGGCAGTAGCTTGTAGTCACGAACTTTGCCGCCCTCCCCTTTACCGACCCCACCCGTGGGGTCACAGCGAACACCGGAGGTTCCTGCTTAGCTGTTGGTCTGTTTCCCCCATGTTCCTGCTGGTTCTAAGGTCGATGCACCACCTCTGCTGTCTATGTATCTACCTCTCTCAGCGCTGACCGTCGTCAAGCTCAAGCAAGAGCTCAAGGTGCGTGGACTGAAGCACTCCGGGAGAAAGGCGGACCTCGTCCGTCTTCTGGCTGCCGAACCGGGCGTTCTCACGCCGCCACCACCACCACCACCACCACCACCACCACCCGAAGACGTGCTTTCCGACGAGGAAGTCGCCCGGTGGATGGAGGAAGACACCGTCCTGCCGCCACCACAACCAAAGACGAAAAGGAAGACGAAGCGAAGGCCAACAAGGCCGGTGGCGGTGACGGCGGAGGAGGTGCTGGGGGGCATCCCAGCAGCAAGAACGTTCTCCTCTTCCCGTCTCGGATCTGCGGCCGCCGCTAAGGAGCTGATCAGGGATGCCGAGCTCGCGGACGTGGTCCCTGCGCGGTTGCCTCCCAAAGACCAGGCGGCGAGTCGCAAGACCCGAGGCACTGAAACGGGACAAACCAGCGCTTCATCGTCTTCGTCTTCTAGGAAGGCCGCTGCCAAAACGCCTCGTCGTTCGAACACCAACAACGGGGCCAAGCCCGGTGACGGCCCCGCCGCCGGGGCTTCGACGACGACCCCGCCGCTGCTGCTGCCCGAACCAACGGAGGACATGAGAAAACGAGCGATCATCATGGATCTCTTGGAGCGGCGGGAAACAACCTTCGAGCTGGAGGAGGGCCTCCAGCCGGCCGACGTGCCGCGTAGCGACGCGTACGTGGTGAGCACGAAGAAGGCGCTCCGTCCCTGGGACGGCCCGCACGCGGACAGAGCCGAGACGCACGTGGTGGTGCTCCTGACCGATGTCTTCGGCTACGGCGACTCCTTCACGAGGAACGCCGCGGACGAGATCGCGGAAGTTTGCGACGCGATTGTCGTCGTTCCGGACATGTTTCGGAGACGACCGTGGACCCACGAGCAGCCGGAAGAGGAGTACGAGGATTGGAGGTCTTCGCACGATCCGGTGCGGTGTGCCTTAGCAAAGGATGGCTTGTTGTTGTGCCCGGTTGTGCTTGTTGGCCAGTGGAAGAGTGTGTGTTGAGTTTTGCAGATGTTGAAGTTGCAGAAGATGCCCAGCATCGCCGGATGCATGTCTCCATACTCTGTGGCCAGCACCATCGTATGGACGCATTCACGTACACGCGTGTTTTCGTTGTTTGCGCGGGGAGGCATCCTGCTCACCCACGAACCGTAGTCCGTGGCTTTTAGCATCACTACTGAAGTACTATTTACAAGCCTGAGCCTTTGAATTCGGTGGGTCTGGCCTATGCGGAACATTTAATTCAAGCGCTGCGCCGATTGCCGAACAGGTTGCTGTGGCCAATGATATCCGGGCTTGCGTTGACTTCGCGAGAAAAGAATATAAGGCCACCTCGTTGGGTCTGGTGGGTTTCTGCTACGGAGGCGGGAGAGCGCTGGAGGAAGCGGCAGCAGGTGATATCCAGTGGGGTGCCCCTTCTTCCACCCCTGCTTTTGCAGCTGGTGTGCAACTGCTTGTAGCAAGCGGCGCTGAAGCTGCTGCCAACCTGTGGAGTAAGGAGGCGCGGGCTTTCGGTTTGATGTGATGCAGGTCCGCTGTGAGGCCTCATCATTTGTGGAAATTATACATGCAATCAAAGAAAGACTACCCGTTCGGCCTCTTAAAATTTTGTTGTCTCTTTCGTCTTAAAATGTTTTTGCCCTATTCTGTTCTTGCCTGGTCCCATGCAGGTGTCGTCAAGCCGGATAACGTTGTCGTCTTCTACCCAACGAGATATGATGTCAGCGAAGTGGCTTCACGAGTGACGTGCCCTGTCGCGGCGTTCTTCGCCGAACACGATGTTCTGCCCGGAGCCACAGTTGAAGATGCGTGCGCTCTTCGCGAACAGCTTCGGGACAACGAAAAGGCGAGTGAATGCGCCAGCCAGACTACTGTTCATTCTTATGCATACAAACGTCGCTCTAAGCTCAGTGTCCCTTGGTTCAAAGAAAACCGAGCGTAGTACAGGCGCGGCCGATCGCAGAGTTGAACGCCGAGAGTAACCCCCCGAAATTGGAGTACGAGCTGCAACACAAACTTCGGAAGAGCAAACAACGGTGCGCGGCCTGTGTGGACTATCCCATTCGAGGCTTTTTTGTCAGGATTTAGTTTGCGACTGCCGATGGGAAGTCAAGGGAGGATGATTCCTTGCGTGTGCATGCGTCGATACGAGGGCAAATGCCTACAATATTTCCAGCGTTCTTGTCCCACGCCTGTGACCGCGAAAGGCGTACACGTCAGTTAGACCACCTCGGATGTTGGTGCTGAGCAGAGATAGGGGGACCGGTTTTCAATGTGAAGGACAACAACAACACCTCCATATTGCAAGCCATCCCGTCCTCCAGAGGTTTCGTTGTTTGTCTGTCCAATTGAAGGAATATGCGATCTTCCCGACAACCACCACACTTTGTGCGTTCCTAATAGATCATTTTCCCCCTATCACTACCAACACCCTACCACCGTCGCCCACCCCGTGCATCACAGGTGCCAGATTTCCAGGTTAGGCTTTGCCCGGGGGCCGGGCACGGCTTCGCGCACCGGCCAACGGAGAAGGACACGGAGAACGCTGAAGACGCCATGTTGTTGGCAACCTCTTGGTTGGAACTATACCTTCAGAAGCACTTCCCGACGGAGCCGGGGGGGGTGAAGGAGTCAGAGTTCGGGTTCTGGGACCTACCGGCGACAAGCGGGGCCTCATAGACCGACGTTGTATATTTTAGTTTGGAGTTCGGTTACAGCAGAGCGAGGACATTCTAATCACGATTTATTGGGAACTTGACAGGCTCTCCTGGTGTTGCAATGGGAAGTTTATCACCATCGGTTGGACTTGCAGATGTTATGCGCACTACAAGAGGAATTGATCCCTTTCATGGACGGGCTGGTCTCGTTTCAAGCCGAACTACCCAGTTCGCCTACATTATTCGCAGTGCAGCAATATTATTGTTGGAACGTTCCGCTGCTCTCGATTTCATCTGTGTGTCTATGTAAGCGCAGGTTTTCCTGCGAGTACTTCGGGTTCTCATCGACGTACGGCCATTCGAATCGCCAATTGCAAATTGGGGGTTCACTCGCGAGTATCCAGAAACCGATTATCTATTCGTTATTGTGATGTGATGCGACAGAAATTGTGTGCAGAACGTGAGACTGATTTTTCTTCGACCTTCAATGTCTCGCCGATCACCATAGAAAAGCCATCAGTATTAACTCTGGCGCACCCCAGCAGCTAGTTGGTGGCGGTAACAAGAAGAAAACACAAGATCAACGGAAGTGGCGTTTCGTGGAAAAAAAAACATAAGAAATAAAAATGCTGCCGCCGCATGTATCCGACGACAGCACACAAACGGAAAAATTCTTTCGTTTTTTGTGTTATTTTATTTGGATCTGAGAAGCCTGCCCAACCAGACGCCTCGCGCCTATCGGCGAGGAAGGAGGTGATTAGAGCGGTGGGAACAGAGCGTATCATACACAACCAGTGCTACAGTCGGATCGTTGTGGTCATGTGATCTCTTGGTCGTGGAGTAATCGATCTTCACACCGCTCCCGTGGGGGTGTGTTATCTTGTGTCGTACAACGTAGCACCCCCCCAAAAAAGACCGCATCCGGCCCCCCACGTGTCGCAAGTTGTTCTCCGTCAGCCGTCCTGCGCTGTCTGCTGCCAGTGTGTCGTGCGCGCAGTGACTTGTGCACGCAGAGACAGTCTCCAATCGCCCCGAGAACGTACAATGTGTTCGCGGTGTTGATTGCGTAGGCTATTTTTGCGTTGCAACCGAGGTGTTGGAGGGATTCTACAGCAGTTGCACCAGCCGCTGTTTTCGACGGAGAGCGGATGGGGGTCAATACATTGTTGAAGCACCTCGGCCCGTGCTTGGGAGACAGCCACGTCGAACGCTTCCGGGGCAAGACGGTTGCGTTAGATGGGAATACCTTCATCTTCCGGGGTTGCTACAGCTGCAGCGAGCAGGTACGCTTCGTAATCACTGTCTGGAAAACAGGGTGTTTCCGTTGCTTTTGGCGAAAATTCGATTCAAATTCAGGAAATTCAAATTTGCGACCTTTTGTTTGAATGAACGGAATACGAAAACGGTCCGCGTGAGCATCTTACTCATGAAGGCGTTCTCGCTGAACTCGCAACAATCCTGGTGTGTATAGGAATCGGCCCTGGTAGATGGCACTGCAGGTTGACGGCGCCAGTTCATGACTTGAACGCCCTTGTTGAGTGGATTTTCAAGCGCGTGAATTTCTGCTGCACCCTACATGTACCACAGGTGTACCCACCTCCTGCCATAAATTGCGCAAGACACCACCGGCCCAGCTGTACCGATGTCCAAAGCTTGATTACTCTGCAACAAAGACAGTGACTGCTGTGCCACAATGGCCGCCTTGGAACCGCCTCGTCGAGAGTATTCCGACAAGATTTCATTTGATGATGGAGTCTTCTTCGTCGTGGAGGAGCCGAGCTTTACAAATCGGTGCGGGGGGTGTAGTATCTTACGAGACCTACGATATCAATATTCAATGTGTGCTGTGCCCCCTTCGTGCAGACGACAGTGCAGACATCTTCCTAGAAATTCCTAAAACGCCTGAATTTTTCAGGTTTTCACTATCTGTAGCTTCACCTTGAAGACACCATGGCGATTTCGCGGCCGTCGCGATTTTGTCGAGGATCCAAGACCACATGAATTTGTTATGGTATTTGGACTGTTGGGCTAAGATACCATCTGGGCGGGTGTATCGGTAGAAATACACCGACCACCCGCCTGGATCTAGATTCCTAGTATTCCGAGGATAGCAAGTAGCGGTACAATAGTATTGATAACAGCAACAGCAGTTACGCGTTCCCTCTTGCTCAGTATTGGGAGTGAGCGATAGCAGGCGACGGAGAGAGAAGGAAAGATACGGAAGGAACCCGACTGCTGAAACGGAGCCGCTAACCTGCATCAGGTCGTTGCCAAAACGTACTCCATATGCTGTCTCAGGGAACCACACCTATCATAGACCACCGGATGCAACAAGCCGAAATGATCCTTCGCAACTCCCTGCCTCCTTTCCTGGGGAAAGACAGCGATTACTCACTTCTGTCGCTGCTTCAATGTGGTTGCCGTTTTGGTTGTTTGTGTCGACGTACAACCACACGTGCGAGTAATCGGTGTCTCTTCCCAGGAAAGGGGGCAGAGAGGTGGGGGATCATTTCGGCTTGTTGCACCCGGCGTATAAATAAGTGTGGTTCGCTGAGACAGCGTATGGAGTACGTTTTGGCAATGACCTGAAGAGGCGTGGAGCGCTACCAGGCGGTGGACAGCTTGGGCTTTGGGGGAATGCCGGAAACGGCGAAGGTGTGCTCCGCGGTGCGCCCCGTCTTTGCAGGCGACGGTCCCGAAGGAGAAGTTGGAGAGATTATTCCCATTTAGTCGTCACGGCGGATGGATGCGATACTGATGGCCAGCATGGAGCGTGAGATCGAGATCGACGTCAGGGTTCTCTGTCCCAAGCGGATAAGGCCGCTTGGTCTTCCGCCTCGGCTTCGGCTCGACACCTGGAGCATGAGAGTACGGACCCTGCTACGGCACGTCCTCCGTACTCAAATCTTCCGCACCATCCCGGCACACTACATACAGTAGTCCCGCTCAACCCTCGTCGTAAATTGAAGCAATCTGACTAGCCGCAATTTTCAAAAAGAGGCTTCGCATGCATCATTAGTTCAACCAGTACGTATGCTAAGAGGTACCAGTAGTCAGAAAATATCGGAACGGCAAAGACAGCACCACCCACCAGCACCACCCAACATGATTTGTTCGTGGTCTCGTGGGAAACAGGTGGCGTTGGGGCAGGCTTGCACAGGACCGGTTGACCACTTGATGAAGCGGGTACGCATGCTCAGGCACTACGGGGTCAAGCCATGGGTAGTGCTCGATGGGAGGCGCACGCCTATGAAGGTAAACTTGTATGGCTTGACACGTTTGGTGGAATGTTACATGGTACCCATGAAGTACATAGTTCTGATCGTCCGACTACCGTGCCAGCATACTTTGGGCTGAGAAACTCAATATACACTAGTGATTTTCTGAGCTTCGACAAATTAACAATTATCTGCTGGCCTCATGAACAACGTGGACTCGCGGCGGGTACATATTTTTGTTTCTCCGTGCGTGGATGTCCTCCACTCAGCCAGGCATTCCAGCTGGCGCCACGTTCGTTTGTGCTTGCCGTCTTGCCGGAGGCGTACTGCTGTAGCATTTACGAACTACAGACGGTCGTCTTGGGGGCTGATTTCGTTCTTGGCGATCTAAGCACACCTGCACGACAGGCTCAGGGATCAAACCTGTCAAAACCGTACGACCCTTCATATCGGTAGTCAACTATTCATGAAAACGGACGTGGCTCCTGTGGCGATCACAATACCTCTACTAGCAATACGTCTCGTGACCAGCTGCTACTGTTGTGAAGCCACAGCAAGGTGGCACGCAACAGTTGGTGTGTAGCAACTGTGGGGAGATACGCTCTTTTCAAATGTTCCTTCTAGACGGGATTCGGCAGCAGCAGCAGCAGCAGCAGCAATAGCACGGTCATCCCCGCCAGCATTCTGGTTTCTTGACAGGACGACACGGGCAAGCAACGCCGGCAAGAGCGGGAGAAAAACCTGTCCATGGCCAAACACTTCAGGCGGCAAGCGGAGGAAAGCAGTGCCGGCCCTGAGAAGGAAGACCTTCTCCAGAAGGCTCAGACTTTCTTCCAAAAGGTGCCAAGCTTCGTAGCCTGTATTAACCCCGGCTTTCCGGCGACTAAGGAGTTAGTTGGTGTCAAGCTTTCGGCGAAAACTCACGAAGATTCGAACAACGTCAGCGTGTGCCGCCCGTGAGAAAATATCGTCCAGGCACTAAAATACAGAAGTGCCCCCTTGGCGACCTCATGTTATCGTGTTTGGAGGTCTTGCTCTGAAACATGGCAGGTGCCATCGAGGCCAATTTGCGCCCGTTCCTCGGACAAGGGGATACCTCCGTCACTATCGTTGCTTTTTTTTTTCTCTCTGTCCCGGTACGCTGGCCCGCAGAGCATACATGTGACGAGGCAGATGGTGACGAACGCCATGTCAGCCTTGAAGCGAGAGGGCGTGGAGTGTATGGTTTCTCCCTACGGTAAGCAGGCGGGAAACTTGCTGCCGTTTCGTTTTTTGCTTCTGGTGTTTCACGTTGGAGCTGCCTGTGCCCATGCCGTCCCAGCGCGCGGTGTTTGTTTAGCCCGTGTCCTTGCGTGTGCTAAGGCCTAGGATATTGCCTTGAGATGTAGCGCGTCCTAGGCAGTGCTTTTTTCTTTGTTCTCACTTTTCTTTCGTTGTTGAGACAACAAGTTTCACCCCTTCGTCAGACCGCACGCAACACGGTCCGCTCGTCATTGTTGTTTGGCATGCGTTCTATTGTGTTTGCGCATCCGTTTGTAGCAAACGGCCCGAGCACAAAGCAGGCGCATCCGTGTGTAGCAAACGATCCGCACTACGGGAACCAAGTAGGCTTCTTTTTTTTCACAGAGGCCGACGCTCAGGTGGCCTACCTCGTCAAGTCCGGCCTGGCTAGCGCCGTCATCACCGAAGACTCGGATATCCTGGTCTACATGGCCGCCGTCAAGTCTACGGCCCCGGTGCTCTACAAGATGGACGAGTTCGGCACGTGCAAGGAGCTTGGCTTTGATCCGGAGAAACTGTCAAGCCTCCCTGGTACGTGCAGCCCGTCCCTACCGCGTAACGTTGTTTGTACGGTAAAAGGAATGATTGCATGCAGCAGCGGCTTTCAGCTATTGTCAAGGTTGAGTACCCTTTGCGAGATGTGTGGGGACTGACATAACCGCACAAGACAAATACAGCAGTTTTTTGTCAGCGGTACACATCCCGCCAAGTGTCCTGCTCCGAAGCAGCCTTTTGTATGGACAGCGATTTCCGACAAGTGGACGGGAGTGTCGCGGGCGCTTCATGCGCTGTGATGAAATGATGCCGGGCAGTCGGAGAAAACAACGGCGGGCCTCCTTCACACTGGACTACCGTATATGACACAAGATAACACACCCCCTGGGCCGATTTTCAAAGCTCGATTTCTCAACAGCAGGAAGAGTCACAGCGCCGAAAACGGCGGCGTTGGAACCGTCTCGTCGAGAGGTTTTCGAAAATGTATTGTTTCGTTTATGCATCCTCTTCGTCGTGGAGTAATCGAGCTTTGAAAATCGGTCCAGGGGGTGTGTTATCTTGTGTCATATACGGTATTCCACCGCTTCTACAGTGTCCGGATTGTTGACGGAACAGACCCTAACAATCCCGAAGCCGCGTTTGGCGGGTTGACATCTTAGCGCGACACGTACTTTTTTTTTTTTTCGCACAGGAGTAATCGGGAAGTTTGGGAGAGGGCTGTCGATCTTTTCGGGCGAAGGAGGGGGGAGAAGCTTCGTCCAGCTCGCGGCACTGGCGGGGTGCGACTACGTGGACAACATCAGAGGCCTGGGTCTGCTAACGGCGCTGCCGATCGTCACCAAGTTCAGGCGCACTCCGGCCGACAAGAGGGTTTCGCACATCCTCATGCACGTACAGAAAATGGGGAAAACGGCAAGTGACTTACATGAATTCCCACTCATTCGCTGTCTCAAATGTACCGGTAGAGACTGCCTGCGTCGAGCCCCCTCAACGGCTGCGTCTGTGGGCGGGCTTGTTTGCTGACACGCAAGCGGGACGAATGTGTTCTCTGGGGTATGATGAACGTCCACCGAAGTATCTGATGACTCCGGAAGAGACGGGTTAGATGCCAAAACTCTCGAACCAACGGTTACACCTGGTACGAACGGAACACCTCGGGGTTGCGAGGGATATATGAATTTTCGTGGTGCCTGGTTTCGCCAGAGCCAGCGTTTTGGTGCAAGGTTGTGTGAGCACGACTAAACTGGCATCCGCACGGGATGTGCATCGAGTTATGTGATGCCTGGTTTGACTACGCCCAGCGTTGTCGCGGACGCTTGCGCGATACCTGCTTCGTGTGCCTCCTCACTGCAAGCTCCCGCAAAATCCGATGGTTTCGCGTCGCTCACAGATCCCCACGGGCCACCGAGACCGAATGCATCTCGCCGAGATGAGCTTTTTCTGGCACCGCGTTTACGACCCTAGGACCAAGAAGTGCGTGCACTTTTGTGAGGCTGCCCCGGAGCTTATGGGCACCGCGGACGTCCCCGCCCTTCCATCGACCGCCGGTGGAACGGCCTTCCTAGGGTACGTGCCCTGCAGCTGATGCATTTGTTAGCAAACGTTGTTATTCTTGTGGTTTTTTGTCGTTCTGGCCGTCCGCTCCCGTCCTTCAGCAGTATTATTTTGAACGCCTTTCTTTCGATCGGTCGCCAGGACACCCTAATCCACCTTGCATTGTCGAAAATCACCCCCCCCTCCCCCCCACGCCTCCCCCCGGTGTTTGCCATCGGGGTTGGGTTTTCGTCGCTCGGCAACGACGTTGTAAAACAAGCCCCCCCCCTCGGTGTTTGCCATCGGGATTGGGTTATCGTCTCTTGGCAACGACGTTGTTAAACAAGCCAATTCACCTCGTGAACTCGGCAACCAGGTTACCCTTTGTTTTTTTGCGGTAACCATAATGGTGGTCGAGTAGATCATGTTGTGCGGGGTCGAGAACCCTCACTCCGCGCAAGGGGGATGATCGCACCACGTTGTGTTAAAATGGTCAAGCATCCTCGAGGCAGTTACGCGGTGCTTATAACTGTCTCTGGAAGTGAAAGCACCAGAAAATAAATTAAGTCATACGCAGCTGTCATCCGTACGCAAGGAAGTAAGCACAAGATGCCGAACACCCTTAGCAGGATGCAGCTCACCCTTCATGCGACTCGCCGAATACCTCACGGCGCTTCGCGCTTGGTGATGTGAGAGCCTGGTCCGGTGAAAACCCGGCGTGCTCCGTCCCGGCTTTGTAGGGATGCGAGGTCAATGGTCTAACGACTACGGCATGCACGACTACGAGTATGAGTACCCCCCCCCCCCTCCGACCTTCTGTTATGCAAGCCACCCTTGAACCTTACATCGGGAAAATGACCTCCCCGGAGGAAAGTACCCAGTACAGCAGCTGGGGCAAGTTGAGAGAAGAAACGGTCGTGGGACGCTTGGATTGGTTACCATGCAGATCGCCTGGCACAAACTTGGGGTACTTGTGCTAAGGGTGTTGAACTTGGCTCCAGGCTATGAGCCCGTGTTGGCACTTTTTAGTGTCGGTGAGCCGGCAAAAGAATTGAAAGACACCAGACCCTCAACAAGTACTAGGATTGGGAAGTCCCAGTAATTTGAAAGCATCCCACTTCAAACACAAAGAACGAGATAGTCTCGAAAGAGATAGGGAGGGAGACGACGAGGCACAAAGGGTGGAGAAGGAGAGAATGGAAAGGTGCAGTACTGGTAGTGTTGATATTTGGGGTCAATAGCGACATGACAAGGTTGGAGTTCAAAAGTAGATGTGAAGAAGTAGGATTATATTGCTTCGCAAGGGGGGGGGTAGAAAGGGAAGGAAACCACTTTAGAATCACGTTTGGAAGGAGAGTAAGCGCAGAATGGGAAAGACTAGAAGTAGAGAAGATGTCGGCGTGGGTGAGGAGACTAGGTTGGAGGGTGTGCATAGCAAATAGGATCCAGGAAGTAAGGCGTAGCCCAAGGCTGGCTGAAAACAAAGGAGGGCAGGAGGCCCGAAAGGGTCAAAAGGGAAAGCAAGCCAAAGTAGGAGAAGGGGGGGGCAGCGATAGGATAAGGCAGAAGGGAAGGCAAATGAGGGACAAAAGGAATCCTGAAAGGCACAGGAAAGTAGAAAGTAGGAGTAAGGAAATCAGAATAGGGTCTTGGAATGTATGCGGATTTGCCACAGATGAGCGTAAAAGACTCGAAATTGCCGAGCAAGCGGCCGAAAAAGACCTGGACATAGTCGGAGTCCAAGAGTCGTGGGAGAAGGACGGGGGAGAAATAGGAAAAGAAGTGGGAAGCTACACATGGATAGGTAAAATGAGGAGAGGACAGAAAATCAAGAGTAGAGGGGAGGGGGGAGTTGGATTCTTTGTCAAGGAGCACATGTGCGACATAATTGAGGTGATCAGCGACACCAAATTCAACGAAAGCATGTGGATAAGGGTACCAGGGGAACGGGGAAGAAAGGACTTGTTCGTAGGAAACGTATATATGCCACCAGAGTCGAAGAATATGGTGAAAGACATCAGGATAGGGTTCGAGGAGGTAGCAGCGGATGTACAAAACTTCAAGAGAAAGGGATAAGTAGTTCTAGTTGGGGACTTCAATTCAAGAATCGGGCGAACCACGAACCCACACGGAACCATAGGGCAATACGGGGAGGGAGCCACGAACAAAAACGGGGAAGAAATGCTGAGGTTCCTTGACAGTAGCGAGATGAAGGTGTTGAACGGTAGAGTACGAAAGACAGAACCGGAATGGACTAGGCAATGTTTCAAAAAAGGAGAACGCTCCATCCTTGACTATATAGTCGTAGAGAATGGGGGGAAAGAGACGGAAGTACGAGTATGCACAACGGGTGTAGGCACTACAGACCACGCGTTGGTGTGGACAGCCCTACAACAGAAGAGAGTCATACAGAGTAGGCGACGCAGGAAAATGTACAGATGGAGAATAGATAAGCTAGAAGTAGAAGAAACGAGAGTAGAGTTCCAAGAAGAGATGGCTATAAACGACAAGAAACTCTCGGAGTTGATAGAGGCAATGGGTACACCGAAGGATGCCGAAGGCCGGGACCAGGCCGGGTCTAGAATCATAGAAGGGTGGGAAGAGCTGGTAAACACAACAGCAAGTAGAGTTCTAGGTAGAAAGTTGATAGTTTGTAAGAGAGCAGTGAAGTGGTGGGACGAAGAAATCAAGCAAGCAATTCGAGTACGTAGAGAGTCACACGCAAAATATGCGGCAGGGAAAAACAGATGCAGGATGGAAGGAGTATGTTGAAAGTAGAAAGAGGGTGAAGGAGTTGGTCGTGAAGAAGAAGAAAGGGCTGTGGGAGGAAGTAGTCCAAAAGACTAACGAAGATTTTGAGGGGGGGATGAAGCAAATGTGGGTAGGAATTCAAGGGATAGTGGGCAAGAAAAGAGGGGGAGACACGGAAATAACGACACTAAGATCTGCCGAGGGTAAGATGGTAAGCAGTTCTAAAGGAAAGAGGGAAGTACTAGTAGAGCACTACCGCAAACTTGGGACACCCACCACCAACGACAACTTCGACTCGGAGTTTGAGAAGGAAATCAACTCGTGGGCAGAGGAAAACGTTGAAAGATCTCAGAGGGAACGTAGTGATGTAGACGGGTTGCAGGGAGAGTTCACACGAGAAGAGATAGAGGACTGCGTAGCGAAACTCAAGAATAGAAAAGCGGCAGGGGCTGATGGAATTGTGAACGAGCTTTTGAAACAGGGGGGGGAGGGGATGATTAACATGTTGGTCCGGATATTCAACTGGATATGGAAACACGAGTACGCGCCGAAGAGATGGAGAGAAGGAGTAGTCGTGAACCTGTTCAAAAAGGGGGATAATGCTGACCCGGGGAATTATAGAGGGATAACCCTGTTGAGCACAGTGGGGAAACTGTTTGGCAAGATGATAGACAATAGAATGGGAGACATGTTGGAGGGGAAACAAAAGATCAGCGAAGGACAAAGCTGGATTTAGACCAGATCGTAGTTGTGTAGACCATGTATATACGTTGAGTAAAATCATCCAAGGTAGGAAAGACGCCGGGCGTACGACATACTGTTTCTTCCTCGATATACAAAAAGCCTACGACACCGTATGGCGCAATGGATTGTGGAAAAATATGTGGGACATCGGCATCCGGGGGAAAATGTGGAGGATGTTGAAAAAGATGACAGAATGCACAAGAAGTGCGGTGATGTTGGATGGGGAAATTTCGAAGTACGTGGATATACTCCAAGGAGTCGCACAGGGCTGTACGATGTCACCCACTCTTTTTAAGATTTACATCAACGATTTGATAAGGGCGGTTGAAGCAGTAAGACAGGGAGTCCAAGTAGAGGGAAAGAGTGTGTCCGGACTGATGCTTGCAGATGATTTCGTGGGGGTATCCGAAACACCAGAAGGGTTGCAAGAACAAATAGATGCGGCGGTAGGATACACCCGAAAATGGAGACTGTCGGCGAACGTAGGAAAATGCGCAGTAGTGGTCTGTAACGAAGATAAGAAAAATCCCGTAGAATTCAAATGGAAATGGGGGGAGGAAGAACTACCGGTAGTAGACAAGTATACGTACCTGGGAGTAGAGATTTCGAAGGAGTGCTCATGGGACGCACACATAGCGAAGTTGATTGGGAAGAGTAAAGCTCAGATAGGCAAGATGGACGAGATCCTT